TCTTAGTTCATGTTATCTGGTACTGCATATCTGAAAATGTTCATCATTAACATAAGTATTAGGATAAGAAAAATTTCACTGTTGTCAGAAACCCTGGAAGTATCATTTTGCTGCTTTGCAGATGAAACCCAAAATACTAATGAGTATTTTTAGCTTTTTCACATCATTATTGACAACTTTATTATGCTTCTCTTGTTCTGGACCACTGTGGTTTAATTTAGTCATGATTATGTTTGATTATGATTTTGAAACTTGTCTTTTGTTGTTCGTTAACTTGCTTCAGCAAGTCTTACACTCTGGTTTAGTCTAGAAAATGAGAGGAAAATTATAAAGAAATTTCCTTTATGTTAATTTTCATTCTTTGCAATCTACTCTCTAACCCTAGTTCCCTTGCCAGTCTTATGAGTGCTTGAGTTTTATTAGTTATTTAGTTGAAAACATTTTAGCAAATGTTTCTCTATTATGATTATTGCTAATGAGCTGTGTACTAGACAAAAGTTGTCCATCTGTGGTCTTCTCATCTGCTTTCAGATTACACTGGAAAAGGATATAATCAGAAAACTTGAGGACAAATTATAAACACTGCTTGCCTTTGTTTAGGAAGAACAAGTACTCTTGAGTTCTGAGCCCTCCAGAAAAATCTCTCCACAAAAGCAGGTCCCTGGATGGGAGCTGAACTCTTGAAAATCTGTTCCTTCAGGCTTTCTTTCCATCTGTTGCTCTGCTGGAACAATAATCCGAGGCTGACCTAATGTCAGAACAGAAGCAGACAAACTTTGCAAATGAATAATCTTGTTCCACATTATTTCTAATTGGCAATTTATTCTATCAATTACACATTATCTTACTTTGGGACATGCCAAAGCCATTTAAAATACTGTAAATTAGCATGATGTCCACAAGAAAAAGATTGCTGTGTGAGGTGCAGTATCCCTGCAGCCAGCACTTGTCGTGGCAGCTTCATGCTTAGGAGTGAGGCTGTGTGAGCCGATGGGCTTTGAGTTTCTATTGGGGATCCCTTGTCCAGAGCAATGGAGAATGACCCCTTTTGTCCTGTCTGTTATTATCAGGCAGCTCTGGAAAACGAGCACTGTTGAGTGAAAAGAAAGCAGCAGATGACATTTTGTTTTCTGCAAAAACTAGTGTATAGGATCTTTGTTTTTCAGATGTGGTTTTCAAGAAGATGTGCTGATATTGCTGCTATTCTAGCTGTAGCTCTTTTGTTCAAGCCTGAACATAGATGTGTGGGAGTGGGGATGTCCATTTATACTAGTGAGCTCTTCCCTTGTAAAATTCCATGAATACCTAATGTATAAGTATGTATATTCTGAATAAGTTGGGGTTTTTTTAATATTGCTGTAGCACTCCTTTTCTGAAGCATAATTTTACTTCTCTAAAAAAGAGATGGTCATATTTTCAGAACAATAACACCTGAAGACTTTTTCCTGTGTGCTGAGATTACACATGCTCTTGATTACAACACTCACTGTTTTAACCCAGCAGTGAGCCTGGGGCAGGGACTCCTCTGTATAGAGCACAGTGATACACTGTGATTTAAACCAGTGTCACCCAGCATTGGATCTGTAGTTCCAGTGTTTCACAAACAGCTGTCACACACAGGTCTGGAAATCTTCTGACTTTGGAGTGCCTTAGTCATCCTCGTTGCTGTTTTCCACACCTGACCAGAAAGCTCTTGTGCTTTGCTGCTGTGCCAGTGAGATCTGGAGGCTGCCAGAGGAGTGACCTACATTGTGTCAGTAAACAGTAACAGGAGAACTGTGCTCACAAAGTGAGTGAGGTTTGAAAGTGTCTGCATACAGGGCTTTGTTGACATTTTCATGGGTGATTTGAGGATCATGTGGGAGCCAGGAGTCTCAGCTGGACTTTTGAGTGTTCCAGCAGCCTGACTAGGTGGATTCATATACCGTAATTTTTGATCATCCAATTTTGGTCCATGTCAATTAGAAGGCCAGTCTTTATGTACAGTCACTTAGGAGGCTCCTTTTTAGTCAGAGCAGGTGACAGTATTGTTTGAGTTATTCTCACAGTGCTTCCTGTGTAGACATCAGTAGGCTCAACTGGGTAAATAGTTTCTGCTGAACAAAGGATTACGTCATCTTTAGGGCTGCTTTGGTTTTTGTAGAGGTTTTAAAAGTCACTAGAGTGATGCTCCAAAAGTTCACTTGTTTCATAAATGAAGAAATAGCAATAACATGGGTCATCTTCTGCCAGCTGGATGCTGGTAGTTTCAAAATGTCATATGCCAAGGTTGTGAGTGTGCTGTATGAAGAAGGTGCTAATGAAATGCAGGCTTTGAGTACGGTAATAATTTGGAAGAATTAATGTTCCTTCATTTCTGTCTTCTCCAAAGACTCTACATTCCTGTGCAAGTTTACTGCACCCTGGTACATCATGATCATCGAATTAGCTATCCTTGCAGCTTCTCCCCTGCATGCCTGCCAGCTTGGGGCTTCACAGTCAGCTTGGCTCCAGCACAGTCCCTGGGCCCTGTTTATGGGGAGGTAGCAGCAGTATACAGAGAGGGGATGGGTGGGCAGGCAGATGCACCCTCAGGCCAGCTGCAGAACCTCAGACAGTCTCTTAAATTTCCCACACCCCCTTGTCATCTATTAACCTCTGCTCAGCAGTGCAGTCTGGACTGGCACAGCTAAATACAGGACCGTGGGAATCCTGTTTCCCACTTAGGGACTGACCTCAACAGTGTCCCTCTATGGATATGCTGCAATTACTTGGCAGTCCAACAGTGGCTTCCTTAGAAGGGCAGTGAGGGGAAACAACTTGAAGGCAGAAAAACAATTTCCTGCTGTTCCTACCGGTACCAGTCATGCCCAGCGGGTCTGGCCCTGTGCCCTGTAGCTGCCAGTGGAGTCCCCTGGCCAAACAGAAAGTGAGCCCATGTCAGTGGGCTGGTTTGGTGGCCAGACTACACAAAAGGTCATTACCAGGATATTTCAGTTCCATTATTTCTGTTTTACATGCTGTTCTGTATGATGCTCTTTATGATTCTCTTCCCTTTCTTTGGTGTTTCCCACTATTCTGGTATTGTTTACTGCAAATACTTGAGCTAACTAATAGTAAATTCCTTGCTAACTTCACCAGGGTGGAGACCTGTTGCTTGGCAGTGTGCTGGCTCCTGTATATAATTACCTTTGCCATGATGGACTCTTATGCATCAGTTGAGCTGTTGTAACTCTAAATGGACAAGAGGTCTTGTCAAAGACTTTTGGCATTCTGTAGGTTGGCAAATCCTCACCTATATTATCATTCATCTCTCAGAGAATACTTTGTGAGTTATGCAAATAAAGGTTGCTTCTTCCATAGTAGATTGGATTTATTTGTGTTTGCTAAATCTTTTCTTTAATCAGTTTTCAGCTCTAAATGACTTGGTCCTACTGTTCTTCCAGTTTTGTTGTTGTTTGGTTTACCTTTACCTTTAATACTTAGGGTCATTTGAGTGATAGATCCCTTACTACAGTTAATAAAGCAATGAATTTGAGTTTGTGTAAGTATCCTGGATGAAAGCTGCCTGTACATATTTTAACTTTAGATTTTGATAGGTTTTGGAAGAAGGGTCTTCTGTAAATGCTTCAGGTTGAAGCAGTTCCTTGGAGCTGTGCTTTCAAAAGTAGCTCAGATTCAAAAGTTATTTGAGGCATATCCCTAATGAATATGAATGCAAAAAAAAAATCATTAAAGTTTCTTCTGCTTTATAATAAAGGGCTTTGTCGTGAATAGTAGTTGCTGACGCCTGCAGATCTCTTTAGAGTATCAAATAGGGTATATTTCCAAATAAAGCAATATTTAGGTTCTGCATGGTGCTTGCTCTTAGGCTGCATTTGCCACAAAGAGGTGGTAGCAAGGTAATACCATCTGTGAGTTCCAGTTTGTTGATAATAAACTTGTGAAAATAACTGGACGTAACTGGACTCTGCTTTTGTGTGCAGCTGTAATTGCAAGAAGATTTTACAAGACTCTTTAATGTAGTTGGAATGTGTGTGTAATCTTTTGACCTTGTTCTTAGTTTTTGATGACTATGGCATGTTAAGTGCTGATAATTGGGTTTGCTCTAGGCTGAAACCTGACCTGCTCTCTGCAGAGACGATCAGATCTTCTATTGGAAGAGGCACTCAAAGGGGTACCTTAGAAATTGCAGCACCAGAGCTGCTGAGAGTGAAGATCTCTGAAATATGGCAATGTTGTCCTAGGGACTGCTTCTCTTTCAGCCTAGTTTGAATTGGACTTTTCACCCACAGGTTATTGTCCTCTAAATTTTCTTTTCTGTGCCATCTGGTTTCCCTCATAACTCAAGCTCAATTATGGTGAGTGCTGCCTTGTAGCTTCAGCTGGTGGAATGTGAGTCCTGGGTATGAAAGCAAGAGGCAGGTGCTTTTCACTTTGCTCTTGGAAAGGGAGTCAACTCTCTGTGTTTAAGCCATGTGCAAATAAGGGGGGTGTTTAATGCCTTTATGAAAGGAGTATGCAGCAATAATAAACAGCAGCAGGAGCTGGCAGGGTAATGGAGCTAAAGGGATTTTTTTAAAACCTGTCCACAGGGATCAGTGCAATGGACCAACTTGCACTTTGTATTTCAAGTCATCCTTTTCCTCTGTCTCAAACAGTGTTGATGGAACTGATCTTCCTTATTTTAAGCTTTCTGTGTGGGAGCAGTAAAACTGCTTAAATGTTTCTGAGCAGTCGTTTGCACACTGCAGCATTGTTAGCTCTGCTTTTCCCATTCCCATTGGACTCCTTGACATATGTTAAGAATACACAACATGGGTCCAGCTAGAGAATGCCAGACCAACTGTCCTCCAGGTCAGTATCCCATTCCTGCCAGCAATTAACAGATGCCTGTGTACCTTTGTCTAAACCTTTCCTAGCCTCCCACCATCTATTTTCAGCTTAGGAGACTTTCTAGCCATAAATCTTCCTTGTTAAAGGAATAGTTGCAGCTAACTTTCTTTTCTCTTATGTTTTAGAACGAAAAAAGCAAAGAAGACACCTGCTCCTCCAGCCAAGGAAGAGAAGCCCAAATTAACCATTTTTGAAGAGGAGGTGGATCCAAATGAAGGACTCTTTGGCCCAGAAAAAGATTTTTCATCAATCAGTCCCAGAGGAAAGATTAAAGAGAGTAAATCTGTTCTATATTTGTATATACACAGATTGTTTTATCTAAAGCATGTGTATAACTGAGACTTTAAATTACAGTGATGCATAGTATACAGGCTAAATAATGTCTTGGAAATGTTAAGGCAAGTCTTCAGCTGAGCAGAATCATCTAGAATCATTCAGAAAGAACAAATGAAACCTGTAGCTCTCGTAGCTGTTCTTTGTAAACATTTTGAATTGAGATATTAAGGTCTGTGGGAGCTGACTGTCCCACAGTCATTCTTGCCACACTAACAGGAGTAATGTGACCTACTTTTGAGTGCAAGGAAAAAGCAGATTTACCAAGTCCTAGAGTGCAGAGTATCACTGCATTCTGTGGACTGGAAGTCTTTGGGAAAAAAGAATTGTCTGCATGATCTGGTTTTTCAACCCACCTAGCCAGATATACTAGTTAGTGTTAGTGCAGGCCTTGTGTGACATAGCATGATTTAAATTCAGCAGCTTCCTGTTCCCCTTTCTAGATCTGAAGTTATTTGAAGACCCAGACCTCGGTGGGGTGGTGAGACTGGGTGACTCACTCCTGCTGCCAGCTGCTTGTGAGCACAGCAAGTATGTGCTGAGCAGGGATCCTGAGGAGGACACTGAGGAGCTGCTGAGGTACTCATCTCAAATCTGTCATGTGGGATGAAGGTGGTCTGATCTATTCTGATCTATCTTGAAAGAGGTGAATTTGGGGACAAAGCTTAAATACTCAGAATGCAAACTGTGAATCAATACTTGTATCGACAAGTAAAATGTAACATGTGTCATGGAGCTTGGACATCAAACACATTAAAAAGGAAATTAGGAAGACCCTTTGAGAAAGGTGGGCTGCAAGGAATTTTTCTGTGACTCCAAAGGAAGAGCCTATCTTGTTCTTGTTTTCTAACATGACACTTTTACTTTCTGCAAATGATCCACAGGGAACATGACCTCCTCTGTGAAAAGTGGGGAACAAAGCCCAGAGAAAAAAACAGTTCAGCTTCAGGGCCCTGAAATCAGGGGCACTTGCCACAGGAGGAATGATTTTCTTGCTGATGGCTCACAGACTTTCATGCATGCTTCCAGGAGGTATCCTGTGCATACCTCCACAGCCTCTTTATCACCCTGTGTTTAATTTTTAATCTAGTGGGAAGGAGGGCTGGAGCTCAGAGTTGCGGGAGGGTATAATATATTGCTTCTCCCTTGGTAGTGTAGCCTGGAACACATCAGCACACCATGCATTTATCCCTGACATCTCCCTCACAGGGCTGGTTTGCCTGTGCTGATAATCCTCCAGAGATTAAGCAGGGAACCAGTGCTTGGAGAGACTCAGGGAATCTGTGCTGCAGTAATGAGTCAAATTCATTCCTTCTGGGTCTCAAGCTGGCATCTGAATGATGAGGCCAGCCTGCTTCCAGTGCTAATTTGTGTCAACCAGCTCCTGTTAGGATGTATGATTTCCACAGCAGGTACTAAACCCAGGAGAGGGACTCTGTGTGAGGTTTCAAACCTCTCCTGAGGCAGGTAATTCTGCAGCTGTTGCTTTCTATGCACGGAGAAGTGCTGGCTATCTCAGCAGTAATACCTGACTTACTTTAAACAAAGGTTAAATTGGGCTGGGTGCCATCTTGCATTAGACCCTGACAGTCCACCTGATGTTTATAGAAGCTGATGGGGGAGGACATGACCTGATTTTTATGCTGGGTATACTGAGAGCAAACACACGTGTGGTTGCAATATTTTCTTGTCTGCTAGTGATCTCAGCCTGCAGCATTTCATCCAGAGTGTTCATATGACTACAGGAGAAGGGCCTGTTCCACTGCAGTCCTTGCGTTTTTATCCACTAGAGAGAACTTCTCCATCTGTCGTGGTACTGTCTTTTGGATTATATATCTTCAGAGAAAGGTCTCTGAAGTCTGCTCTGAGACCAATGGACCATGCTTTCAGATCAGTTGGGGATCATCAACAACAGCAGCGCACCCAGATGGTTAGGGGAACCCATGGGAAAAGTTGTAATTTCTTTTAAATTCCAGTAGTTTTTGTTTATTCCTGATTTGTCTCAGTGCTTCCAATAGTTGATAAATCGTCATCAAGGTCCAATTGGAAAGGCATACATGTAATGAAGCAGAAAACCATGCAAGTGGTCCAATGGGAAAGTTGCTATGGGAATCCAGAGGCAACTGGATTGCACATTCCTGGCTGTGCAAGAGGTATAGGCAGATAGGTCAGGATCTGTTGACTTTTCAGGTGCCTAACACCCTCTGAAATTCCCCTGGTAAACCCAGTTCATGGTGTTATCTGCACATCATAGAGGGTTGGTGAATTCAGTGCAAGGCAGTTGAGGGTAAAGGAGAAGCTGCTGTCCAAGAGAGGAGGAGAAGTGGCAGTACTGTTTTAACCTAGTGCAACACTTCACCTCCCCCTATGCAAATTCACTGCAGTCACCTGAAATTCAGGGGTAGGGCAAAATGCACTTTGTTTTCTGTTCAGCTGGAAGCCTCAGCAGAACAGTCAGGTCTCATAAATGTAGAGGCAGCATTTGAATCCTCTCCCACCTTCCCTTCCCACCAAACTGGTGCTGAATGTTCTTGCAGGGCAATACCACAGGCTCTTTTCCAGGCAGTGACACTTTGTGGTGAGAAGATGTTCAACATAAGTTGCACTCTCCAATCTCCCTGCATGGGAGCTTGAGCTTATTTTGAGGCCTAAGAATAAGTCTTGTCTTTGCCCTGTATGTGTTGACACTCTCCTTTCCCAGGGGAGTGGGGAAAGGGACTAAAGAAATCTCTCTGCAGCCCTCAAATCAGAGTAGGAGCTGTGACAACCCATTCCTTTAGCAGGCTAGAGCTGGTTATGCTACTAGAAATGGAAATGGAAACCTCTTGATCCCTTGGACATAGTCAGTTCTATCATACCAAAAGTTTATCTGGACACATTTTGTTAAGATCTGTGACTGTCCTGAGCTATGATGCACGAGCAGGTCTGTGGTAAGTCCAGAAAGCTGGACACGTTCACTGCACTCCAGTGGAGTAGCTGAATAATGCAGATGTGGGAGCTCTTCACTGGTGCAGTGAACATTCACATGTACCTCAGGGTCTGCTCACATGTGTGTGGTAGATCTGAGAATTGTCTGACTCACTCTGAATCATGGGCAGAGTTAGAAGAGAGCTGCCTGAGGCAGAGGAGGGCAGAACCTTCTTCCAGAGGGGGATGGGAAGAAGATAATATCCAGAGCAGAGCACAGGAGCAACCAAATGCTTTGTGCTCTTTATGGTACCTGAGTGGTTTGAGCAGCAGTAGCACCAGAGCAGTGTCAGCACAGCAGTGAATCCTCAGCAGTGGCTGTAACTCACGAGGCAGAAGCTGTTAAGGAGAAAAATGAGTCTGCAAAATGTGTGTGGGCTGTGCTTGTCACAACATGAGGGAGAAGAGAATCTGATAAACGTTCTCATTGCAAACTGAAGACTGCTCTCTGTGGGTACTTGCTCATATGAAATGAGAATTACTGTTTTAAATAGAATCACCAACTTGACATTAACAAGTGCTGAGCATTGAGAAGAACCAATTGCATTCTAAGTGCAATGGAAGATTTCATGGGCTTTATCCCATGGGACTCTACAAAGCAGATCCCTGAAGAGGCCAAAGTTTGCTCTCCTGAAATCCAGGGTTTGCTGAGCACCCACTTCACTGCCATGAGAGATTCAAACTCGACCATTTCGTGGTCACTGCAGCCCAGCTGCCCTGGAGCTTTACATTCCCCACCAGCCTCCTCACTGGAGAGAATGAGGTCCAGCCTAGCACATCTCCTTGTTGGCTCCTTTGTTACTTGGAGAAGTAAATTGGCCTCAGTGCATTTGAGGGACCTCCTGTATTGCTTAAGCTCTACTGGCTGTCCTTCCAGCAGATGTGGGGTGGTTGAAGTCCTCTGTGAGGACCAAGGTTTGTGAATGTGAAGCTGCTCCTATCTGTGGAGTACCTTATCTACTCACTCTTCTTGCTCTGGTGGCCTGTAGCAAACCCCCACTATAATGTCACCTGTCCCTGCCTTCCCTTTGATCCTGACCCCTGAGTTCTTGGATGGCTCCTCATCTGAGGCTCATGGCTGAGCTCTGTGCACCCCAGCTGGTCATTGGCATAGAGGGTGACAGTCCCTCCTCATGTCCCTGCCTGTCCTTCCTGAAGAGCCTGTATCCTTCCATTCCAACACTCCAGTCCCAGGATCTGTCCCACCATGTCTCCATGATGCCAATGAGATCATAGCCCTGCAGGCATGCACTCTTCTGCCTCATTAATCTCAATCATGCCTGCCTGGTGTGATGGATAAGGTTTTTGTGGAAAACCAATGCTGAAATTGATCCTGTGAATGTTGCAGAAGCTCTGTGTGCCCACAGAATTACATAAATTATCACACATCCTAGCCTGAAATAATTACCACAGCTGTCTGAGCAGCCTTTTAGGAGAGATTTAATTAGCTTCACCTTTGATAATGAATAGGAAGCTGAGATGGAAGGAGGCAGCTGTGAGCACATTTGTCTTTTTCCAGTGCTGAAAAAAAGTGTCAGCAGCAGGATCCCAGTTCTGCTGCCCCGATATCAGATCTGGTGTGTTCCTTCTTAGGATTACACTGATAACCCTTTCAGGAGCATTATACTTTTTAAGGCTGAGACTGTTTGTGAAACTGCACCCCAGCCACTCTTCAGTCCGTTGAGCTTCTTGAGCAGGTTCATCAGATTCAAGGAACTGTTGCCACCCTTGAAGCAGAAAATGTTTGTGTGTTCTTCTTTCAGCAGGCATTAGCAAATGCTGAATTCACAGAGTAACACATCTTTAATCTATCCAGGAGTTGTGTGGAGCAGCATTTCCAGCAACAATGCTCACTGTTCTGAGAGTATGAGAACAGCACTATAGTTGGGAAAAAAGCTTTGAGAAACTCCAGAGGGTTTTTATGTAGATCCTTTGGGGAGAGGATTATTTGGGCAATGTATAGGTGGAAGAGAAGGTTGCAATAATTGAGTCAGAAATTTCCTGACCACTCCAGGGCAGTTTCTCTTGCTTGCTATGACAGAACTGTGGGGAAAGGTCCTTGATTTGGCTGCAGTAGATTACAGAAAAACAAATTCTTTTGTGATGGTTTTCAACAATTTTCTTATTTCATTCCTGTGAAGTATCAGGATGCTACAAGCATTAGAAGAGCTATAAAGTAAACTTGCCAACAAAACAACCAGTTTTTTGCTATACCAGAAACATTAATCCTTGCTCCACCCCTGGGAACATGTACAGGTTGTGTAGAATAATGTACAGAGGCGATGTGGGGTCCTAGTGCAGCAAGAGATGCTTTTGCTCGGCTTGAGACCCACCAGATTTCAACCATCTCGCCCCAGGTTGTTTGCATTTTTGACAGACATTGTCAGCTCAAGGGGCAAAAGCTGCCTGCTGTCCCCTGCCCCAGCTGTGCCTTTGGCTGGTGATTGGGGAATTTTCTAGAGAGGCAGGAGAGGTTTCAACTTTTTCAGACTGGAAAAATTGATTTTTCTAATTTCCAAGGTGAGTGATGTAACCAGCAGGCTGATGTCCTCAAAGGGCTTCTTGTGGGACTTACCTGCACTAATGAGCCTGTTCTCTGGCACTCAGCCAGGCAGCACCACCAGGCTGCCTTCATCCATGCTCTTGGACTCTGCAGCTGCAGGACAAGGGGACTGTGTGCAGCTGCCTCCAGGGAATGGTCACTGTCCCACTCCAGCTTCGAGTTTTGCCAGAGAGGTTTTTGGAGGAGGGCTAATCTCTCCCACACCAAAGCCATGCCAGTGGCTCTTGTAGCATTTAAACAATACAAACTATCATATTCCAATGTCCAGACCTAGTTCCTGGTCCAGGTTAAAATACCATTGTGAATTTACCTGTAATGGATTGGACCAAAGCCATGTTCTTGTAGCATTTAGACAATACAAATATCATATTCCAGTGTCCAGACCTAGTTCCTGGCCCAGGTTAAAATACCATTGTGAATTTACCTGTAATGGATTGCAGGGGAAAGCTGAAGCAGGAGGAGAGAGATCTCCTTCATGGCCCCCAGTGCATGGCATTCCTGGGATTAACTCCAGCCTGTATCTTTCCCTGGACCTTGCTGGACATCACACTGTCTCTCCTGACCATAGCAGATGTCATGGGCAACAGATACTTCGAAGTCTCCTGTCTACTTTTGGGTACAAGTCTTTTCCCAAGTTGTAGATTTGATGTTACAGCACTCCCCAAGGCTTCACCAAGGGATCTCTCGTACTTGGAATTAACACCAGACAAAGTAAAGAACATAAGATATCAAAAGATGAAAGTTCTTGCAGTTCTGCAAGAACTGCAGTTAGTTACACAACTGAGCTTCAAGCATGAGCCTTCTGGATTTTTAGCAAATTATGGGGGTCTTTGTCTCTTGCTTTCATTACAGATTCTGCTCATTAAAGCATTCCCAGCAAGCAGAGGTCACTGTCCCCATCATATTGTACATGCAGACAGTCATTCCTGTCCCAAAGATCTGGTCCAGAGAGAAGGGACAAAGTCCAGAGAAATGGCATCTAAAATGTTGATGTTCTTGTGGCAGCTGCATCTGTCTCCAAGTCAGAACTCATTTACTGTCTGAAAGTCCACATGCCAGCAGTCATGAAGGGCTTTGTGGCAGCCTTTCTTCAGTAAAGGCTTTGATTGCTTTCTTTTGGAATTCTGAGAGAATTTCCACCAGTAGAGTCTGTGAATCAGCACAACAAATGGCAAGAATTTTAAACAATGTGGTGCTGCTTTTCTTTTACAGAAATAGAAAGAGACTAATTAAAGAATGATTAATTACATGGATTCTGTGCCTGATTGTCTACAAAAAGATGGGGTGGGAAGGTTCTTCCTTTAATCTTGTTTCAGAATAATTGCTTGATGTTTTTCTTCCTCCTCCTGGCCTGGAGTTAAATATGGTGGTAGTTATGCACTGTAACAATTCATTTGCTTTCAAGAAATAGAAGTCCTTGTTTCTATCCCAGCCTGAGGCATTTTGCATTTTACCTCTTCAGTTTTGCAGAGACAGTTGTGTCTCACATGATCAAACAGCAGTGGATCAAACAGCTTGCCTAGCACCGCAGCACTGAAAAGCAGGTTTTGAGACAAAGACCACATATTATCTGCTGTGTTCTCTCTAAGAGACTTCTGTCTAACCAAGCTCTTGAAAAAATCCAGGACAGAAGAAGGAAATTACATCATCAGCTTCCAGACTTTCTTCTGCAGAATCTTTGGCTTAAAAGCAGAACACCGAACCCCCACCCTCTAAAGACCCCCACAACCTACTGGACTGGGTCTTTTGGGGGGTGTTTTTTGGCTGTGCTAAGTGGCTTTGTTGCTGTGATTAGCACAGAAACTGGAGTAGAGAATTCAGGAAGTTGTATCATCATACCAGGTTAGTGAGCTGGATTTACTGCTGCCTTTTCTGAGCAGTGCAGCTACTTCAAGGTGCTGCTTCCTCCATATGGTCTCTATGTATTGTGCATTGTTCCTCTGCTTATTATGTTTTCTAAGACCAAAACTTTATGAGATGGATACTGATTCATTCACTGTGTGTTTATGCCAAGAAGGGAGGCTTCAGAAATACTAGCCTTAACAAGTTTTGTTTATTACACAGCAAAGAGAGCAAGAACATGTCTTGGCAATGTGATCACAGGTGTGATACCTCTTGGATATCAGAGTTTGCAACAAACAGAAAGGCCTGGGCTTAAATGAAATTAATTTCTTTGGAGATGAGGAATTCAGAAATACATTGAGTGTGTTTTGTAAGTTAAGTAGGATATGTCACCCACAAAGAATCATGGAAAATAAATGACATCAAAAGTCTTATCTAAATAAAAGAGAATATAATCTCCAGAGTTACTTAGAGGATTCAATTTGAGGTGCTGCTCGCTGTAATACCACAGGTAGAGTTCAAGGTGCAGAACTCTGGGGCAGTGAATGGCACTGTTCATCAGCTGATCTGTTCAGGTGTTCCCTAGTTTTAGATATCACTGTTCATGCTATTGATTTTACAAGAGCAGTCTTGGTTAAAAGTGATTCTTTTAAGTTTCCCTTTGGGAGTAACAAGGGAATTGTCTGGCTTCAGGAATGGTTTTACCTTAAAGAGTTCTGACTGTCTCTACACCAGAAAAGTTAGGCTAATTGTTATTGACTTCATGGCTGGTTCATGGTGGGTGTAGTTTGTCTCAGCCAGGGCAGTAGTATTGTAAATTGCTCTCAGGTTTTAATGAAAAAGAAACCCTTGAAATCATGCAGTTTATCTTAGAAGTGGGATCCTTAGCTTGAAGGGGCTGTAGCTGTATAAATACCTATGGTTTTAACATTCAAACAGTATTCACTGGGGATGGAGGAATAAAGTGTCTCAGAGATGTTGGTTCTTTGATCATGTTCCTGGTCGTCCTGGACAGTTGCCTCATCAGTTGCTTCCTAAATTATGGAAAAGCTGAGTTTTACTTATAACTGTCTGCAGAAAGCCCCACCAGTTCTGCTGCTGTGTGGTAGAGGCATTTGCAGTACCTCTCCTGAGGCAATTGGTGAACAAAGAGAGAAAGGGAGGAATCACTGTCCATTTAGGAAACAGAAGTAATCCCAGGGGTTTCACAGGCATCTGGGTAACCCCCCAAGATGCCTCATTGCCTGGCAGTGAGGAAGTTATAAACTTGATATCAGGAAAAGGTTTTTTACCCAGAGGGTGGCTGGGCACTGGAACAGCTCCCCAGGGCACTGGTAACAGCACCAGGCTGACAGAGCTCAAGGAGCATCTGGACAATTCTCTCCTGGGCAATTCTCTCAGGCACATGGTGTGACCCTTGGGATGTCCTGTGCAGGCCCAGGAGTTGGACTTGATGATCCTGATGGGTCCATTCCAGCTCAGGATATTCAGTGGTCCCATGATTTGAACTACAAAAGGAAAATGACAGGAAGAACCAAAAAACACATGACTTGAAATTACTTATTCATGCCCCAAGGACTGCCTACCTATGGGCAATGGAGAAGAACAAACTAAAAAAGCATCTTCCTTAGACTCTAGTACCATATCCTGTTCCAGTGAGTGGAGCTGCTGAAGAGAATCCTTCTTTTTCTTTACTCCATATTTTGACTTTCCAAAGGCACACAGTTCTTGGAGTCACCAGATAATCTATGATAAGGGCTCTCTTAAAATCTTTTAACAGCTCATGTGGGAACAGAGTTGGGCATGCACAGCCTGCTGCATATCTGATAAGGTCAAACAATGCAGGTAGAAAATACCCTGAACTGTTTGAGGTGTTCTGGGTTATTTCAGTAGGAGTCAGCAGCAAATTATCATCAAAAAGAGTTGTTGTATGTGGTGATTGCAAAACTTCTTCAGTGTCCCAGAACCAAATATGAACATGGAATTTTAAAATCCATTAGTGTTTACTGTTTGTCATGATTGAGCATGGGGATGCTCAATCTCAGTTTTGGGTGATGGGGATGAAGAGGAAACAGAGTTGAATGTGGATAATTTTACTTTCCCATGAAAATCTATGGGGAAGCAAAGCATCCTGTCACAAGTCAAAAACATTTTTTTCCGAAACTAAAATAAAGTTTGGTGGTTTTAGTAATCGCTAATTGCCTTTAATTTAGACACTTGAAAACATGCTGTATAATTAACTTGTATAAGTTAACTTGTATAACCATATTATGAAAAAGATGGTTTATGGAAACTTCTATGGAGAGAGAAATTTATCAGAATAGATCCTTTCCTGCAGAAGGTTTTGTTTTGAAAGATAGCATTTTCTTACAGAACAAAAAGCAGTTCGGAAATTCCCAGGATGTTACTGATTTTTTCTTTTCATTCCAGAGTTGAAGATGATTTTGAGAAACTCTTAGAGGTTACCTCCAAACCAAAACCTAAGGTCCCACCAAAACCACCTCTGCCTCAGAAGCCAGCAGTTGCCCCCAGGAGCACTAATTCACCTTCACTGGCAAAGCAAAAGGAAAACAGGATTCAGACAATGAATGAAGTGGACATTCTCCAATATATCCAGGAAAATGAATCTATCAACAACCAGGATACCAGTCTTTTTTGAACAGATTTATTTTCAAAATGTGATGATGGCTTCTTGGCCCCACCTCCTAGTGAGCTCCAGTGACAGCAGCAAGAACTGACCAAGTGTTTCAGCTGCCACAGTGCTCATTTATGTTCCAGGATGCAGAGAGCAGCAGGTTTGAGTAGCAGAACCTCCCTGGGAGGTTTTCAAAACAGTGCAGCTGTGGTCTAATGTTGCCTTAAGATTTTCAGGGTTTCACAGGGAATGTGAACAAGGATGTAGCACTACAGATTGTCTACTGCTATTTTAGTATCAACATCATAGAGTTTTGGCCAGTTGATTGAAAATGCTGAGGATGTTGTACACATGGCAACTGTGAGTATTGTCCAACAAATGGTCTGAGGCATGATAGGATGCTGTTCCTGTCATTTTTAGATAGTGTTTTTCACCTCAGTGAAAAACACCATTTTCCTTTCATCCAGTGTGTTTTTGTAGCAGCCTTTTCCTCCCTGACTGGTAGTTCAGTAATTTTTTAACAGGAACTGCTAAATATAGTTAACAGTTCCTGTGTCTTTCCATGGATCCCTGAAATCCCAGCTAACTGTGACAATCTGCTGCCTTATTGCTGCACAAATGCCAACTTGTAAGAGGACTTTAGGCTTGCAAAGACCATGCTATGCATCTCTGAATCCCGGCAGATGACTGGGGTGACTAAGAACACTCTCCAGACATAGATGGAGGTTGCAGTGCCTGGGAGGTTTGGATGCTGTAGGCCTCCTGTGAACTCCAGATTCACAAGGGCTAATTTTTTCCAGCCAAGTCTTCCTGGGTTTCCACTGTAGCTAGTGGAGAGAGAGAGGGGCTTCTCCAGGGGGTAGTTCAGTGCAGGTGTGTTAATGGAGGAAATCTGAATTGCTCTTTGGAGTCACTCTTTCTCTCCTATTCCTTCACTTCTCTCAGAATTTTTAAGAACCAGCCATAGTGATTAATTCCACTAAGCTAAAATGAGTTTGTGTGATAAGATGGTGGTCTGTTCTTTACCATGTAATGGTTAAAACAAGGAAAGACAAACTTGACATTATCTAGAGGGAAAAAAAATAGAAAGAAAAGATACTGGAGACATTTTAATATGCAGGAGAAAAAAGAAGACAAACTTTTCATTATCTAGAGGAAAAAAAATAGAAAGAAAAGATACTGGAGACATTTTAATATGCAGGAGAAAAAAAAACAGTGTAGAATAGGTATCCAAGACTTTCCTCTTGTCAAACTCAGGCACTCTGGTTGAAGATACCAAATTTACACCTAATGTGGGTTGATACCTGCTGTCATGCAGAGTTTCCTGAACTCATTCCGTGTGTGGTCTAGCTAGAGATGAAGACAAGCTCCCCAGAGGGAAAATTTTAATATATTTAAGCCATATCATCATCTCAATATTTGCCTTTCTAATATAGAACAAAATAAGTAGAAAACATTATATATTTTTAATAATGAAATTATTTCTATTAGCATTTCCTTTTTAAGCCAGTGGGAAATATTACAAAGGTATTTTGCTTTGATGGGACAGATAAAATATAACCATTGATTCTCCTCAGAGTATGGTATGTTTTACTATAATAAAGCATTTTGCAAACCTGCAGGTGTTACTGGTGTTGCTGTTGTTCTCTAGGTTATATACAGTAGCAGCAAAGAATCGATTCCATTTAGCTCAGGAGTGCTGTGTGGTGTTAAAGTGTAAATAACTATGAGACTGAAAATATAGCTGTGCTCATATTTCCTTTGAGAGCAGCTAAAGGCAGAACCAAAGGTACTACCTGGTCCTGTCTGTCCCCCCAGTGTCCGGGAGCAATTAGGAATAAAAAAGGTGAATAAAAGCAGTGAGGAGAAAATAAATGCCTTGCCCAAGAACAGGCAGGGAATAGCAGGTAGGAAAAATTAATTCAGCTTTCCTGTTGCACTCCCTGCTGTTATGAACAACCACTATATTTAGCTGAGGGCTCAGGGAGCATCATCTCCATTTTATTCATCACTGTTTGGGAGCACTGCCTGCATTTCTGTATTTTTGGACCACAGCCCACCCTTCACATATCCTGAACACTGCTAAAACTTCCAAACTGCAGGCCATGGGTTTAATGATCAGTACAGTGAGTGCAGTTCTTCACCCTCCTTAAATGGCCTAGGAATGTTTTGCTCCCTAGCTCTCCCTAAAATTGTCAAATTCCTAAGCACAGGGAAAGAAGAGCTGTTAATTGTTTCCTGTGCTAGATTTTTAAGATTATTTTGAGGTCAGTATTTTACTTCAGAAAAAAAAATAAAATCTAGCATTCCTGTCAAGAAACTAGTATAAAAGGATCCTTCATAAACCCTGGTGTTATGCTTTTGTTTTACAATGCAAATGTCTGCTGCAGTCATATTTTTGGGCACTAAGAGGTGAGTTGCAGTCATTGAATACATTATATATAATGAATCATTATTATACAAGAGAAGAATGTCAGGCAAAGGTAGCTGAGAAAAATTGAACATACTATTAGAAATGACATAGGGAAACTATACAACATACTTTGCATCCTGCCAGAAGAGAACTTTAATTTTTTTCTTTCTTTAATATTTTACTTCTAGTAGCAGGTATTTGATTAGCCTGCTCTTGACAACTCTTGAAATTCAGTTATGGACTCTAATGTAGTTCTTGGCTGACAGTCATCACCTTCCAACATCAGTAATAGAGTTCATCAAAAGATTTGCCAAGGAAGAGTTATATTTAAATCCTTAAAAAAGACGTGGAGGTTAGTTAGAACCCATAACAGATACCTGTATTGCTTTATAAGCAGCTTCTTGTTCTGCATAACATTCTGCTTGCTCTGTGGTACAGCACTAATTGACAACTAACACTGTATACTTCATTATTTGGGTCACAGTTAAACAGATTATTTCCCCAAGCTGAGTATTTCACAGATGAGTTGTGGATCATCTGCTCAGGTCTGTTCAGTTGCTGAATTTTTAGGAAAGCTAATTCCCATGTAGCACTTAAGGCCTAGTTCTGTCACTGACAATTTGGGTTGAGTTGTAAAACAAAATATTAATTGAAACTGATATTTCTGCTAATTTTTGCCCAGATGTTAGCTTCTGCAAAGAAGCTGAGCTGGCTACAGCAGAGTACACAAGTCAACCTCTGATTTAAGGTCATGAAAATCCACCATGCTCATGGGCATTACCTACTGTAAATGAGCAATCCCTGAGGTTGTTAGATTTAATACCGAGTACCAAAAAGCACTGATGTTTCACTTAAAAATGTGACTGTCACTAATTCACTAAGGAGTCTTGAATTTTTGTGTGTGTATGCATCAACCACATTTCATCTCAACTGATCACACATTTGTGACAGTTTAAATGTCTGTGGGTCAAGAAGATAGAAGGCTTTTACTGTGAAGTTTTATCTGTATTCTTACTTTTCATCTCAACATCAACAACTGGAGTAAATTAAGTCACTTGCTTTCAGTATTGTGCCCATTTCTTCCTTAATTCATCTTTAAACCCTCCTGATTCAATTTCTTTCAGCCCTCACCATATCACTGATCTTCCTTTAGAGCCTCCTGCATATTGTTATTTCATGTCATGCATTGAACCTAATGAAGAATTCAAGTGATGGGAAAATCTTGTGCACTGCTTTGAGTAAAGATACTAGCACTGGAAGGTGGTAAATTAAATTAATTGTCAAATTAAGTGCTGCTGTGAGAGTTCAGAAGTCAATAAAGCTGCTTAAAGGATTGATTAGTTCTAGATATTTAGGGACTAAGTTTCATTCACACCAAGATATTAGGGATGCCTAAAATTTACATGGGGTCAAGGAGACACCGGTTAGATTCATGGAAGAGAAATCAGTTGATGGTTATGCCGCTCAGAGCTTGGAAAGTCCTTCAGCTACTGGAAACAAGGAGAATACTCAACAGCCAAATATTGTCATATTTCCCTAGAGTGATTTGCTTTTGGCTGTTGTAAGGAATACTGATCTGGGCTAACCCAAAACCCACATGGAATGAGTCACTCAGGGAGGATTTGATGACTGAGGGAAGAGAACATATTTAGTGCTTTATCACCCTGCTTCCCAGCACCCTCCACAAGATCCCTCCACTGGCCTTACAACAACAAAGCAGCTTCTCCTATTTACACAGGAGAAAGTCCTGGAGTCAGTGGAAATTTTGGTTTCCAATCTATACTTTTTCAAAAGCTGTTTTTGACATTTAGTGAGCAGAAGAAGTCCAGATGGTATCAGAGGAAGATTCCAATGATTCTTGAATGCTCTTCCAGATCCAGATCCTCTGCTCTAGTGAGGATTCCCCGTCTGGAATACAACACACAGTTCTGGTGCCCCTGATATAATAAAGACATGGAGCTGTTGGAGCAAGTCCAGAGGATGCCACAAAGTTGGTGAGGGGACTGGAGCACCTCCCCTGTGAAGACAGGCTGAGAGAGCTGGGGTTGTTCAACCCAGAGAAGAGAAGGTTGTGTTCAGGCCTCATAGCAGCCTTCCAGTGTCTGAAGGGGGCTGCAGGGAAGATGGAGAGGAAATCTTCTTCAGGAACTGCAGTGATAGGAGAGGGCAAGGGGCTTCAAAGTAGAGGCAAAGTTAGATTAGGTATTAGGAAGATATTATTTACTGCAATCGTCCCCAGACACCCCAGACACTGGAGCATATTCCCCAGAGAAGCTGTGGGCATCCCTGGAAGTGTTCAAGACCAAACTGGATGGAGCTCTGAGCCACCATGGCAGGGGGGTTGGAACTGGATGATCTTTGAGATCCCTTCCGCCCAAACTGTTCTATGACTCTGATGCCACCCTGGATGGGAAGGTTAGGACACACTACAGTTTGCTTAGGATGTCACATGCAGGAGGTTTACCAGAGTAACCTGGCAATAAATGGGCATCATCACAACACCATCAAACGGCAGTGAATACCCCCTAAACAGAGCAGCTGATGTTATGATCTTTTTCAGCAAGGTGCTCAGGAACCTCAGAGACTGAAGTCGTCAGCAAATATACAAAAAGACCTCAGCCCACTGCCCCCTGCTGCATTAACAGCTACCATGGTTTCTTACCCTCAGATATATTGTTTTTATTATCAAGTACCAAGGAATCACAGTATTAAATTGGAGATGTAGAGCTGTTAAAGCCATGGGGAAGCATTATGATCAGTGTGGCATCCTTCTTGTGGTCCTTCAGTCACCAAAAAATCCTAACAATGTATAAAAACCTAACATTTTGTTGGGTTTTGGTAAAAGAAATGCAAACCAGTCTCTCCTTGAACTCATTAAATACTCTCAGAATGCAATTTAGCTATTTTCTACCAAAGGCAGTGTTTCTGATGTCATCAAAAGGTTGTTTCCTGTGACTGCTGTGAGGGTCATGCTCTCAATCTAAGCTGTCAAAACCTCGTGCAGATCAGTGGAAGCCTGGTCATGCTGATGCTGGAGAGGGGAGGTAAAGGAATAGGATGTGACACCACTGACAAGCCTGATGGGCTTGGAGGGCACCACTGAGAAACAGGAGAGACAGGGCAAAATGAAAGAAGGCATCTGCCTGATTTATACACACAGCTCCAGAGCCGTTCAATTCCCCTGAAATATCACAGCTGTAGGGCTGGAATCAGCAATTAGTTTAGTGATTCTGTGGTGAGAGGAGCTCCATGGTTTTTCAAATGAACATAAA